TGAAATTCAAATTCACATTCATATAGATGTGATATATGGCAATATTCAATTTCTTATATATGGTTTTGCTATTATTTATGATATTAACAACTAATATTGAAGGTAAATATGTATTTTGAAATTCAAATTCACATTCATATAGATATGATCTATGGTAATATTCAATTTCCTATATATGGTTTTGCCATTATTTATGATATTAACAACTGATATTGAGAGTAAATGTGTCAACAAACTTCTTACAGGACTTATGGGAACATAAGTTTTTTAGTAGGATCATATGCAACATAAATCTCCCTAATAAGACTTATAAATAATTTTTCTTTTTTTTTTACGGCAAAATAAACTTTATTGATTAGGAATTAAGATAAAAACCTTATATCGAATATCAATAAAGAAAAAATCCGATACATGCTATCAACATCAAAGCTACACACCTTATTCCAATCAACAATGATTCATCCCACTAAAAATATCACCACTAATAGCACTAATGCATTAAAAAAGTAAAAAAAAAAAAAAAACACAACTCCAAGACCAAAACATCACATCATTAATGGCGGGACCCACTGCCACCTAATTAGTGGGAGCACTAATTAGTGCTCCCAAACATTTTTCTATGGGTAATGCTAGGGACACCAAATTTTCTACCAAACAAATGACCAAATGTCTCACATGGGTGTGGGGTCCGTAATTTTGTGGGCCCCACACCCATGTGAGACATTTGGTCATTTATTTGGTAGAAAATTTGAGACCTCTAGCATTTTCCTTTTTCTATTCCAATTAAGGTAAATCTCCAACCAATCACATTTAACCTTTTGTGTTTTTAATAAAATTATTACTATGCGTAGAATTATTCATTAATGTCTACCAAAATAATTCATTTTTGTAAAATTTGGATCCTTTTTTAATGTGACGTGTTGCCATTTAAATCATTAAAAATACAAAGAATCCAAATTCATTTTTATAACGTCCTTGTTAGAACATTCTCTCTCTGGACTCAGGTGCATATACGGAAAATTATTCCATTATTCGGATCATGAGTTTTTGTGTCAATTACATTTGTAGTGGACGTAGACCTCCACAAAGTGAAACCTTCTATTCATTTGATCTATGATGATTGGTCAGGATTAAAATTGATGTAAAAGTTTGGAAATATCAAAGATTCCAAATTAGTACTCTTTTTCGTTTCAAATGATTTGTCCGGCATAAAAAATAAAAGATAAAAAGTAATATATTTTTGTGTTAAAATTTTTAAATGATCTGATTTTTTTTTTAAATTTGTTAAAAGAATTAGAAAATATTGACATTAGAATACATTAAGTTCTCGATTTTCATCGAATAAATAATTCGGGACAAAAGTGGTAACTCATAAAAATATTCATGAGACATGTAAATTTGATACAAATTAATAATTAAAAATATATGAAAAGAAAAATTGAGATAGAAAATCTAATAGAAGCACAAAAAATGGACTTGTGCACATTTATGTACTAGAAGGAAAACACAATAAGACTTTTTGTGTTTTTGTTTTGAAAAAAAGAAGAAAAACTTGAATGATGGCATGACTATTATTGTAAATGCCTTTGTGCTTGTGGGTATTTTCAGAAATTAAAAAATGTAAAAAATAACAATTCAGAGGAAGTTTGAAAAAAAAAAAAAAATTCAAATGTGTGATAAAATTTACAAATTTTAATAATTTAAATTTTAATTTTTTTCATAAAATTATAATTATTTTAAGAAGTACTACTGATTTGTAGTTTTTTCAACAAAAAATAAAAAAGAAAAGAAAAGAAAAGTGACATGCCTACACTACCTCAGATTTAAACTTTATATAGTAGATATATAATAGATGTATATATATGTCGTAAAAAAAAATTAAAAAATAAAAGAAAAGATTCCTAGGTGCCGTCAGTTCTCAAGTTCATCCACCAATAATGCTACGGGCCAGATATAAAATTTAGAAATTATCTAAAATTTCACGTCAATAACTCATATTCATTTTATCGGTAAACTTTATATTTTATCAATTCAATCTCTACTATACTTATCCATTTCTAAATAAATTCTAGTTCTCTAATTCTGAGACGCTGCTTTTTTAGTTCATCCACATGAGCTCAATCATACATATGGCCATGTGGAGCCCAAGTCATTTCTCATACGAAACTGGCTGGCCCTACTGCCCTCATTTCGAAGCTATATATTCCACTTTAGTTTTCTTCTTATTACGTTGTAAAAAGAAAATATTATATATAATTTTATTTTTTATTTTATATATATATGTATATATTTTAAAAAAATTTAAACACAAACGAATAAATTTCATATATATTTATTTATTTATTAACGTGAATTTATTATGTTTACATTGAATTGACATAACCTATATATTCATTGACATTCTATGATGTCGACCAAAATGTCTAGACATTTTTGAAAGGTTTAGAATCCAATGAAGTTACTTTTTCATTGTTTAAACTTTAAAGAGTCACGAGATTGACCATATATCCACATATTTACGTGAAGAAGCCCAAATAAAAATCAAATTCTACACGGATTATCTTATCTTATGGTTGGCCCACTCAATAATGTAGTTTTGTCTTTATTGCTTTTAATTAAGATTACTGGCTAGTTCCAAGTTAGCATGCAAATTATGTAAATAATAATTGAGGTGTGAAACAAACATGTGCAGATTCCCTCCACTGTTTGGATTGGAGGATCTAATTTGGCTCATCTAGCGTCTATTTTGAGTTCATTTTATTGATTTGAATCGCCCAATTTTTAGTTCATTTTGCGTAGATCATGCATATAAAAACATAGGTTAATTCAGTATTAACAATCACATGTTTGGATTATAATTATCTTTAAAAAATGTAATTTAAAAAATAGACCATCAATTTTTTTATAAAATAAATGTAATCTAAATACGTAGTTACTGATATTTTATCAGTTTAATTTTTTTGCATACATGGAGAAGATACGTTGAATACAATAACTGCTAGCAATTATTTTTTGAAGCAGTTAACAATATAAATAGTTTTGTGTAAACAGAAAAAGAAAATTACATAACCTACAAATCTTTTAAATTGTGTGCTTCATATAATAACACATATTATTAAATAAATGTAATTATATGCGCATGGAAACAAGGCCGGCCCTAAGATTTAGGAGCCTAAGGCGAACTTAAAAAATGGGGCCCTCTTACATTGAAAAAAAAAATTCATAAATAAAACTATAAGTTACAACTTTTTTATTTAGTTGTAGCCACAAAAAAATTTCCTTGTACATATAATCATTAAAAATATAAATAAAAATTTACTTTCATATATTAAGATAGGAAGCAATCATTACAAATACTTAAAAAAAATAAAAATCTAATCTTATTATTTTTTTTTTAGCCCCATATTCTATTGAGCCTATAGTATTTAAGCCTTTTTTTTTATATATCTAAAATACAAAATTATATTTAAAAATCCTTATTTTCAATCCAAATTTGAGGCTCAAGGCGCAGGCCTCTCTTACCTGCTGTCAAGGCCGGCCCTGCATGGAAATGGAATGGATGCTTGCGTGGGGAAGCACTTTGCTCAATTTGGTTATTTGGTACATGTGTCTTTTTTTTGTCCATTACAACTATTTAATTTACCATAGAGCCTAAAGCATAACTTGGTGGATAGAGAGAGAGAGAGAGAGAGAGAGAGAGAGAGAATGCGTTTCTTTGAACCATCTTCTTCAAATTAAGAAGCACTTGCGATTATTTTATGAGGAAAAAATAGATGGAATGGAACTTAGAGACTAAAGGCAGTGGTGCAAATTGGCAATGACATGCACTATAATTATCAGAGTAAAATTAGAGACAAGTGGTTGAGAACTTTGTCGCAATCTTATCAATCATACAAATTATAAATAAAATTAAGTAAATACTTTTTTATTTTTCTGAAGTTAAAATTTACAAGTTAGTGTCAGAGCAAGTAGGATAGGTTCAATCTATGTTGGACATCTATTTAATAGGTGTGTGTTTGAGAAGTGATTATTTTAGAAGTTTTTTGGTTTTTTTATTATTTTAGTAAGTTATTTTAGTTTTTGCATTTAGAAAGATAGGATGGATTTTTATTTGAATTGTGTATTGAAAAATATGTTTGAAATGATGTTTGAAACTGAAATGATAAATTTGTCCCTAACTTCACTTTTTCCAAAATAGGTTTTAAGTGGCAAAATTATCATTTATTTCGAAAATGATGGGGCTGTCCCTACACTGTCATGTTGACAGTGTAGGCTGATGCTATATTAGACCTATATATATATATATATATTTTTAAAAAAAAATCAATGGGTTTGTGCGACTTTTTGGTTTTTTTTTTTGTATTTGAGACTATTTTAGTCTCAACTTTTGCTTCCCAAACACCCCCGAGTAAGAGGTGGGGTATTTTATTACAAAAAAGTGGAAATATTTGTAGGGTGTAATTATTTGTGTTTTTCTATGCTAAAAAACACTTGCACCCCCTCTTGTATTTGCAATGATTTTTTGTCAAATAGCCTGACTTTTAGTTTTTCCTTCTGTTTATGGGAATGGATGCTTTGTTCTTATTTTTCCAAGTCCCCTTACTTGGTTACAAATGATATAAAAAAAATAAAAAATAAAAAATAATTTTCAATTAGGAACTGGCACATCGTGAGTTTGAGATATTTGTAAGACGTGAAAAATTAATAATAATAGAAAATCCCGTATCATTTTTATGCACCAGTCATATTTTTACAAACACAATTTTATTTCGAAATATTTTAATTATATTAGGGGAAAAAAAAGTATTTTTCCTCTCTCATCCAAAATAAGAAGACCTAACATTCAAACCCCCAAGGGTTGTCAGACCGAAAAGCAAAACTCAATGGGCTGCTAACTTGGGTTGGGGGGCCCAAAACTATCGTAAATTAGGTCCAAAGCCCATAAGGATTAGAGACCCGTGAAAGAGAAGCAAAAGCAGAGTCACTACACCAGTAGCATTGTTTAGAGCAGAGCATCAATGGCGGTCTCGAGCTCAACGATTCGGTAACAATCGTATTTTAACCTTATGTATCTACATAAATGTATGTATATATATCTAAGTCTCAAACCCCCAAGGGTTGTCAGACCCAAAAGCAAAACTCAATGGGCTGCTAACTTGGGTTTGGGGGCCCAAAACTATCGTAAATTAGGTCCAAAGCCCATATTAGAGACCCGTGAAAGAGAAGCAAAAGCAGAGTCACTACACCAGTAGCATTGTTTAGAGCAGAGCATCAATGGCGGTCTCGAGCTCAACGATTCGGTAACAATCGTATTTTAACCTTATGTATCTACATAAATGTATGTATACATATCTAAGTCTCGTCGTTGTTATCTGTCTGTGGAGGTTTTGTAATGCTTTTAGGTCTTAGGTTCTTCATTTCATGGAGTGTGATGCATTTCTAGTGATTTGCTAGAGGCTATTCATCTCTCTCTCTCTCTCTCTCTCTCTCTCTCACACACACACACACACACACACACACAAGCTACAATCCTTTAGCTGAATACACCCAGGTTTACTTAAAATACAGATTGACCTTGTAGTTTGAAAAATTACAATAACCTTTTGTTAAAATTTTTTATCTAAGAGAATTAACTAAAAAATAAAATTTTTAACTGTTATCCAATATAATAATAAAATTACCTTAATATTAATTGAAATAAATTTCTGCCATCATGAAAAACTGTCAATTAATTTGATGATTTATTAATAGAATGAGCCGTTTGTTGTGAAATTAGAAACTTTACGGGACAGGATGTAATTTTCAAAATTATAGGAGCAATTTGTATTTTAGCAATCCAACTTGTTATGCAACATACAAAACTTGCAATGTTATCACTTTATACAATTTTTTTTTTGGATGTGTGTGTGTGTGTGTGTTTGTTTTTAGTGGAAATTATAAGACAGACTTAGAACACAGGTTTTATTTTTGGTAGTTTATTTGTAGTTTAGGTTGAAACTTTTGTTGTGGTTTTGTTGCACACAAAAAGTTACACTACCCATTTTTTTGTAATTATTTTTGGTCTTTTAGACTAATTTGTAATTTCCCCTTGTTTTTATTCTTTGCAATTATTTTGAAGCAACATTAATATTATTGGATAGTGTCCACATATTGGGATATCCATTTACCGATATATCCATTTTATCAGTATTTGGTTACTTGTTTCATGGGATTTTAAGTTAAAAAATAGTGCATGAAAATTTTTGCAGTTTGGAAATTGGAACTATTATTGGAGGTTGATGTTGCAGTTGGAGTACTTAAAGATGTAGGTAAAATATGACACTCTTAGTTTCTTGCCCTCGTAATGTAATGGATCATAATAAGAATTTGTACAAGATTGAAATTATTATTATTATTTTTTGTTGAAGTCACTGTTACACATGTTATACAGTTTTTTTTGGTTCTTGGTAAGATCGCCTGCTTTATTTCCTCAATCCTTAAATAGAAGCTCTGCTTGATTATACTGGTTATGTTGATACCCACCATTAACAGAATTCTAACTTCTAAGTTAATATTGCATTCTTACTTTCATTTTTTGCACCTTTGAAATGGTAAAATTATATAGTGAATCTCAAGATCTGACCAGTACTATCTTACCCGAATTGGGGATGAGGCAGTTTTTTATTTACATCGACCTACAAAAGCAAATCCAATTGCATCCAGTCTATTTTTCTTAATAAATTTGCAGTTATTTGCAAATTCATTGTTTTTATGGGCTTATATAATAATTCATCCATTTCCATCTTTTTTGCATATATGTACCTCAAAAATTTCAGCTATTCAGAATCTCCGGCAATTATTCTGCTATCTGATTTCTTAGGGATGAAGGTCCAAACTGAAAAATAGATGGTTACCAAATCCCACATTGCGTTTTTGTTCAATATTTGGACTCATGCAAATTACACCACTGAGAATCTAGCAATAGCCGGGTTATAATGTTGCAATTTAGATGATTGCGGGTTATCAATAGCCAAGCTCTTATCATGTCTAATTGGGCTATTACAAAGAACAGCCGTGTGAAGAAGGTATAGTACTTCCTGTTTTGTTTTTTGCTTTTATGAACTATGTTTTCCGCAGATAAGCGTTGGTCACAGTGGCTTGTTCTCATAGGTAATGCTTGCTCCTCAATCTGTGGCCATTTGAAGGGAAGGACAGAAGGCAAAATATCCATGGTGATGGGTGATTGATTCTTCCTCTTTTTTCATGAAAAGTGAGGAAAAGCTGCCGATTGGTGTTAACCAGATTGTAAGTTCCTAACTAAACAAAATAATGTTTATGGACCTTATTACCATATCTATGAAACAGGTTACACAACCTTTATGCTTTAGTGTACTCAGACATCTGTTTTTCTGTTATATAATTGCTTGAGTGCTATGAGTCTTCATTCATAAATTTTGTGGATTTTTTTTATAAGCTCTTCAGTTAATGGCTGTTAGGGTTCTTTTCTTCCCCCATATTCTTTTATATATGGACAACTTGCCCACTTGTCTCTCACAACTTGGCCAAATCAAGGGAGCTGACACACAATATTTCTAAGTACAACCACCAAAAATTAATTTTTTTTAATTACAGTTTTACCCTTAAACAGAATTACTATTAAGGAAAAATTACTGGGAAAGAAAAAACTATTTTCTTAACTTCTTTCTTTGGAAATTCAGAAAAGAAAGAACAGGGAATAATAATTCCGTACTCTTCTTGTGAAACAATATGGGGGGAAAAAATCTTTTCTTTCTTTGTTTCCCCTGAATTCTTTAATATATGGATATAGAAAGTTGAATGTATAAAAAACTTAAGACTATCATAATAGGCAATAAAATATGTGGGAGCAAACTAAAGCAGTTAGTTTGCGCTGCAAATGTACCCATAAATGGAAGTAACATGAAAAAAGATCTTAAAAGAATCGTTTCAAATGCAAACTCCTCCTCCAAGAGAGTGTGGAGTTGTGTGAATTCACCAACCCAGGTTGTCTGGGTTTTCTTGTACAATATTATTCTAAGAACCTAGAAACACATGCAGTACTTATAACTATAACCTGTTAAACACATCTTCAGCTATAACTATATTTGAAAAGTACATAATTTTAATTAAGAAAAACCAAGTACCTTTTACTGATACAAAACCTTTTTATGAGAGGTCTCTGAAGAGAATGGCTTGGCGGCCAAGCTTAACTGGCAACCCAAAATTTTGATAAGCTCTGATCTCACCTCCCAGGCTTGCTGTCACAATTACCAATCCCCATGCTGTTGCTTGGACAGTGTTTCCTCCTCTGTGGCTACTACCCTCAAACAAGGACCTGGAGGACCAAGACTGAGACGGAGAACTCCCAGAATTGGAAATAGAAGGTGAGTCACCATATCTAATAGACGAAGAATCTGAATTGAATGACTCTCCGATTCCAGTCTCAGAGTCGGTACGAGAAATTTGAGCAAGATCTTCATCCCGGCAACTTGAATCTCTCTCCAAGCCATTATTTTTCTTGGGGAGAGGTGGCAAATGTCTTTTACTGTTTGTTCCCGCCACGCTGTCTTCCCGGCTTGGAGATCCCATGGTGGAAGGTGGCTGATGGGTGGAGCGTTTCGAGTGCCTTTTGGAGCTCATTTCAATGATTGGCGGTTCGATTTTCATGGTACCTGGCCATGGGATTGCGACCGAAACATCTCTACACTGAAAGGCTTCGTGAGAGTTTGTGGTTATTAAACCTTTGCTTTTCCCTGCACCTGCGTTTCGTACCTTCCAGATATATACTTGAGAGTCCTCACTTGCACATACAACATATTTTCCATCTGCACTAAATGAAGCTGAAATTTGGCTGCTAGTATTTCTGAAACCTGTTACCCAACATCATATCCGTTAGGTTGAGCAAAAAAACTGAAAAAATTGTAAACCAGTCCGATCTTCTTAAAATAGGTGAACCATACTTCACGGTTCGGTCTATGGTTTTATAGTTACGGTTCTATTTTGAAGCCAAACCGGGCCATTTAGATATATAGTATAGATACATAATTTGTTATTTACGACCGACACTTGAGTACTTGATTAGTATCCCATATATATATGTGTGTAAGTTATTAAGCTTTTGCACTTACTTGTGTGTTCCTTTATAGTTCTAGAGTTAGTTATAAACGATAAACAATCATCTAAAAATTTGTTGTTTAAAAAATTATGAGATATTGTTTGATGTTTGAGCAAGTTATGAGCAATATTTTGCGATCATGTTATGAATGACGGCAAGTTTCTTAAAATCATGGTTCCAAACTGAACCAAACCAAACCGGGTTTTACTGCTTTGGTGTGGTCTGATTTGATTCCAAGATTTTCATGGTTTGGTTTGGTTCCAAAATTCATGAAACCGTAGATAGTCGATTGGTCCTTGATTTATTCCTAAACTGAACTAAATTGAACCATGCCCACCCCTAATATCTGTTACATGGAAAACCCATTATACATGTGTCTACATTTTGAAGAAATACCTCTGAACTTATAAATGATGTCTGAACCCTCCATGATTCGAATCCGGGAGTCAGCAGAAGTTACAAGCACTTCAGATGGATTGTCTGAGGCAAACTGTTCATAACCAGGGTTAGCTTATGATAACTGGTTTGAGGAAAGAAAGACTTTTGTATGTCAAGATGAAACTAGGAGAAAAGAGGATTACCTGAAAACCAGTGATTTTTTTTGCTTGAGTCTTTTTCTTCTGTTGGATGTCAATCTCTTCTTTTTGTTCTAGACTGCAATCTAGGTTGCCAAATAGTATATAAATTATTACATTTTTTTTGTATATATTAGAGAAAGAAAGCATTGAAAAAGAAAAGAATAATCTGGCAGAGCAGCTCGTACCAGCTGTACTGTATAAACGACAACTCCCTTTATGTGAACCAATTAGAGCACCCTTCAACGATGAAGAAGATAAAATGTTACTGAAAATCCAAAATCATCTTGCAAATTTGTACTTACAAAACCCAAACTATAAATAAAAACAATAATGATAAAGACCCCCCACAAAACACAACCTCCACAATCCCCAAAATGATCTGAACCATTCATGTCACTTTCAAACACAACTCTAAAAAAAAATTCAAACACATCAATAGTCAATACATCAGTGGGGGTTATGGGGGTCCTCTTTTGTGGGGGTCTAAACATTTTCCAAATAAAAATATTTGGTCATATTATAATTCCTTTTTTTCTTACTCAGCTTGATGAAGATATGATTCTGATACTTGGTGAAAAATTTTCTTTTAAAAAAATAGAATTATTACAGTAGCGAAACAGAGTATCTGAGGAAAAAGAGAAAAACATCAAAGGAGCTACCTGGCCATCAGGGGTATAACAAACAGCAGTAACCATTTCATGAAGGTCAGTATAGTCTACGAGTTGCCGGTCTGGTATTTTCCAAATTCGAACCTTCGCATCGAGTGAGCCACTGATGAAATAGTCGTCATCTATTGGGTTGAACTGTATACAGGTTACTGCAAAACCAATCATGCATCAAAGGCAAAAATAGGTTAAACTAGCAGATTAGGCAATTGAGCAGTAATGGTATGGTTAGGCATTCTACCATAGTCGTTATGTGCAAACAACTTCAGACAGCTCTTTGTTTCCATGTCCCATAGCCTAACTGTCTTGTCCATTGAAGCTGAAAGCAGTAGCTGCAAATCCACATAAATTTGCATGATTTTATGTCAACTTTCTACATTACCATAGAACTAGACTATGATGTATGAAAGGATCCAAATGAAGATTGCTGTTTTGGCTTCAATGGAATGTCAAATTCTTGGAAGATTTTCCTAATAAATTCATTTTTTTCTACTTACAATTTTCTCTTTCTACCTTTTGTGTATCTACAGTGTGGTGAGAAGCTGACCTGTGATTTTGACCAAGAGAGGTCCAAGACATCATCCTGGTGACCTGTAAAAGTGCATACTGGTTTTTCTGAGAGGGAAAATACAATTTCTGGCACATTGACATAATCAGGAATTGAATTGCCCTTTTTCTTGTTAGAGGATTTCCCCTTCTTCTTCCTCTCCGACGGCATTGGTGAAATCTCTGGAAGAGGAGGCTTTTCTTTTTTCCTCTCGGACGGCATCAGTGAACTCTCTGCAAGAGGAGGTTGTTGCTCCAATATATTTCCTGCCATGGGATGAAGTGGGGTGGAACCAGTAGAACTCCACTCGTCAAGTGGCTTTGCCGACATAACTTCACATTCTTGGACTTCCCACACATGAATTACCCGATCTTCTCCGGCACTAGCGAGGTAATGAGCATCCGGGCTGAATTTCATTGTCCAAATTGAGCCCTCATGAGCTTGTATTTCTTGACACAAATGCAAAGCGGTGAATTCTTTCATAGGCTTGCCGTGCTGATGAACTTTAATCCACTTGGAGGATGGGTTTTGCTGATCTGCCGTTGAAGAATTATCTCTCTCTTTGTCACCGATCAATCCGCTCATTGAATTTGCCACGCACCTTATGTTCTTCAAGAATGCGACCCCCCTTCTCTTGCTGTTTCTGAAGCTCTTGGTAAGGTATGAATTTCCTGCATTTGCGCCACCTTTTTTTTCATCATCTGTTGATACATTTTCACGATGCAAAAGCTCCTTAACAACAGGTGAATGACCGACAGTCTTCTCAAATTCCTCCATGCTGAGCTGCTTCCCAGTCTCAACTTCACTGAGTTTATTCCACATCCCCTCACTATTGAACTCTTTAACAATGAACTCCTTACCTGTGTCCAAATTCTTTATCAAAAAGAACGTGCTAAACTGACCATCCGACAACATATCTGGCAACGCCCCACTATTGGGTATCAAAGATCTGTTTCTTCTCACCCTTTGTGGTGTGACGGTATTGGCATATTGACCTATACCAGAATGTGATGCTAATAACATTGATGATGTTCTAGTGAGACGCTGTTTTGATACTGTACCTATGAGTTCTTCCTTTCTCTTCCTGGTGTTTGCTGAAAATGATAAGATGTCTCCATCTGATCTTGACCGGACAAGTACAATGGACATCAAGGCTTCAGGCTGAGGCTCAGGTTCAGGCTCATGCTCAGGTTTAGGCTTAGACTCAGACTCATGCTCATGCTCAGACTTAGGCTTAGGCTTAGTCTCAAATTCAGATTTAGGGTTGGGCATCGGTTTAGAGGGGGATGATTCAATGGCTGATGATGTTGAAGGCTGATCATTGCTAATTTTCTTTGAAGAAACATGCATGAGCTTGGTGCTGACAAGGCTGAGAAGGTTCTTGGTACTCGATAACCCCATACCTTGAAGTAGCTGCCTACGACGATCCTTAATCGATCCAGGTTCTGCCATCCACATGTCGTAATCTCCGAATATGGATGCAGGGCCTCGGTTGGCTGTCTCGAAGCTGCGGAGGTCGTCAATAGCGGCCTGTGAGATGGTCGAAGTAAAAGACATGCGGCTGTCATCGAACTCATCATCGTCTGACCCAGAAGACGCCAAGTCAAGGGAGATAGCCGAAGAAAGTCGATCAAAGGTTTCGAAGAAGCAATCGTCATCGTCATCTCCTAAACCGTCCCAGTTCATCGTCATTGTCTTTTTTCGTTCCATGGTAGCACCCTTTTTCTGATCCTGGTGGTCCATTGCTGAACCTTGTTTGTGATCTTGGGTCATTGTAGTACATGGATGAGTAGAAATCAAAAGATTGAATCAAAAAACAGAGAGAACATAGATGATGAAATGTCTCTGATCGTTAGTGATGAGTTTGTGTGTGTGTGTGTGTTTTTTTTTTTTTTTTTGCAGGAGAGAAATGGCTGGTGAGAAAGAGGATGGAAGAGAGGAAAACAAGGGTAATGACTGGTTGGAATGAAACAGTCAGCTTTCTCTCCTCACGTCCCTGGGGGTTACCAAGTAAGTGAATTTCAAAACTGACTCTTCTACATGCACCATTGATTCTATTTGGATATATAACCTTTTGACGTGGGGTGGAGCACATAATTGGACACAACCTTTATACATGAGTGAAGCCTAGCCATATATAGGGTTGTGTCCAATTCAAATTCAGCCCCCATCCCATTTGACAGATTTGTATTTGGTTATTTAGTGCACTCTTTTTTTTCAAAATTTATTTATTTATTTATTATTAGAACTAATTATATATATGGGTAAATTACACTTAACTCCCCAAAGGTTTCGAAAAAATGGAGTTAGTCTCACAGGTTTGGCATAATTACATTTACGTCTCTTTTAATAAAGTTAAAATGATCAAAATTAAAGCAGATGGTGAATAGACATTAACATAAACAAAGGTGAATATACATTTTAATAAGAAAAGAGATAACAACATTATCTTTTTATCCATACGATTAACAAATTATTGATAAAAGAAGTTTAAGTATTATGTTAATTAAAACCTTGAAGGAGACAAATGTAATTATACCAAATTTTTTCTCAAATCTTAGAGGAGGTGAGTGTGATTTACCCTGTATATATACGATTTTTTTTTAATTTTTTAAAATTTTTTTTTTATGGGATATATATGATGTTTGTTGTGTGGATTTACGCAATTTCAAATTATAAATTCAACTAGGAAGGAAAATAAATTCAGTTACATAAGGGCATTGTGTCATAAATTCAGATAAAAATAAAATCACCCACAACTAACATGAATCAACCACTAACATGTAACAACTTACGTAATTAATATAAATTTAAGAGGGAGATTTTAGGATTTCAAAGGTTTTCTAGATTGATAATTGGTATAAATTTTTGTTAATTTGATTGGGACTATGTTAGTATTACGTATAAGGAAAATGAGTTGGACCCCCTCAAGGAGGCACCCCCTTTGACCCTCTCTCTTTCTGATTGGCCAATTTTTCTTTTTTTTTTTTTTTTTTTTCTTTCTCCTCCATTTTTTTTTTTTTCCTTCTCCTCCAATCACCACCCGCCACGTGTGTGTGGGGTGGTGGGGGTGGTGATTAAAGGGAGTCTCAATCACTTCCCTACGGATAAATATTAGATGAGATTAGTAATGCCAAAGGAATAGTTGTACTATTTTTAATTAGAATAGGAGATATAACATAATATATGAAATAAGAGGGGAATTATTTTTATGGTTAGATGAAATTATGTGAATAATCCTATGGATGGGATTAACAATAATATAGTGGGGAAACAAACACGAAGAAGGGTATGTTTGATTGGACAGATTATAGCATAGGATTAGAATTATTAATTATGAGTTTTACATTTTATTATTTGGTTGCAATTTTTGTTATTTGAATCAAATATCGATGAACATTTTATTTAACAAAATTGACAGATTTTTTAATCCTACAACTAATAATGCAAAACGAACATAGTGGGATGATATATTTTCATATTTATTGTAAAACAAACGTAGATAAGAATGAATTATTTATTTCTCTGATCTTGTTGGGCAAGTAATTCTATACTAATTTTATGGATTATTAACCTCTCATTATTAATCTCAATAATTAAACAAAAAACAAAAAATAAAAATAAAAAAATCAAAGGATTAGCAATCCCGATCAAAGCTTCAATCCCACCCTCTAGAGGGTTATTAAACTTGAAAGTACTAGAATTGGTATTGAATCATGACAACATAAGAGAGTTTGAGGCTTAAGATTTTCTGCTTCTTGAAATCTTATTTATTTATCTCAAAATATTCACAATTGATAAATAATGTAAAAATCTCCAAATATAAAAATTTCAAAGTATATCTAAATATGTAACTTGCTTGATCGCCATGTTGGGTTGCAAGTAGTGTCATCATAATAGCAAATCTATAAAAAATTGAATGGCTTTCCTCTAGTCGTGATTGAACTGGAGAGTATTGTTGGGTTTGTGGGAGTTCACCACGAGTTCTGTTTTGATAATTTGAACTGTTCAATGTGTAAAACTCGTTGAGTATTATATTCCTGTAAAAAATCACGTTGATCGGATATCAATAGCTATGTCATCAAATTAGTTTTGTATGAAAAAAAATAGATAGTGAAAAATAAATGGCTTACAAAAATCTGATTTGATTACATAACTATCAAAATTCGATTAACGTAATTTTTTATACGTATATGGTACTCGACAAGTTCTACGTATTGAATATTTTGAATTATCGAAACAGGACCCGTGGTGGGCCTCTACGGGTCTAATAGTACTCTCCAGTTCGATCACAGATTGGAGGGAAGCTATTCCCATTAAAAAAAAAAAGTAGTGTCATAATAGACTTTTGACGTATGGAAAATTAATAATTATTATTATTGCATAAATGCACATTCCATTTGAAAAATAAAACAGAAGGGATCTAAAAATAATAAAAAAATTCCTTCAAATGAGGTAGATGTAGGAATTTGTGGTAGAGTTTTTGATACAGGTATGTAGTGGTTTGCATTACTTCTTGTGAACATCTGAATTAAGCAAGTTTGCAAATGCCCACTTGTTTGAACAATTTTTTTTCATGAAGGTTCACACGGTATTTGCCTGCACGTTGAGCCAATCACTAGCAAAGTTAAGTTGACTACACCACACAATGACCCCTCTCTCTCTCTCTCTCTCTCTCTCTCTCATAGAGAAAGTGGAATTCCATGATCTAATTTGTATTTAGTGATTGGGGAAATTGTAAATAAAATAAATTTGACCTGTTTAATAAAATAAAATTTTAATTTTATCAAATTAAATCTTAAATTTTTAATTTGTTTTTAATTTAAACTATCTGTCTATTTTTGTTAAGTAAAACTGACAAAAAATGATATTTTAGTCATTAAACTTAATGAAAAATAGTATTGTAAACATTTTATGTATATCTACATTGAATTTATTGATTAAAATGTTATTTTTTCTGTTGGTTTTATTTAATAAAAATAGGTTAATGGTTTAAATTGAAAATAAATTAAAATATTATGATTTAAATTGATAAAATTCAAGGTTTATTTTATTACGCGGGCTAAACTCTAACTTTATTTGTAATTTCTTCTAGTGAATTTTTTAAAATAATTTTTTCAAATTTTATACTTTTTAATAGTATTTAAATTAAGTAGATTTAAAAAGTAAAAAAAAAATTATTTTAATGAAAATAGGTTAATGGTTTAAATTGAAAATAAATTAAAATATTATGATTTAAATTGATAAAATTCAAGGTTTATTTTATTACGCGGGCTAAACTCTAACTTTATTTGTAATTTCTTCTAGTGAATTTTTTAAAATAATTTTTTTCAAATTTTATACTTTTTAATAGTATTTAAATTAAGTAGATTTAAAAAGTAAAAAAAAAAAAATTATTAAAATATTAAAAACGTTAAAAGAACACGGATTTAAAATTTTAAAAAATATATTTTTGAAAACTCAAAATCAAAGAAATTATTAATTTGCATGAATGAACATTGCCTCAAGATTTTGATAATTTTGACAAGCATTTTGAATGACAATAATATCACCATCATCCATCTTATCACTAACAATTTTCTTCTAATTTGAAAATAGTGGTTCGACTAGAAAATCCAAAATATGATTAGTTGACAAAAATGTATCTCAAATCGGGCTAGTGAATTAATTTTCCATGCAATGCGCTTCAAATCTCAAATCACTTTACACGAGGGAACTACCTACTACTTGGCATTAAATCTTGTGATTGTGATGGGTCCACCCCTAAAAATTTATTTTATTTTGAGGATTCATTTTGCTTGGTTTCCAGTTTTTTAAAATACTTTTCAGAAAATTTTATTTTCTTATTTTTCGTATTTTTTTGTTTTTATTGAATTTTTTTAATATTTTAAGTAATTTTTTTTTTATTTTTTAGACACACCTAACATAAATACACCTAAAAAATAAAAAAATTGTAAATTTTTTTTTAAAAAAATTCATTAAATACCAAAAATATAAAAAAAATACAAGAATTCAGTATATTTTTTTTATATTTTTATGTATTTATTAATTTTTTAAAATATTTTTTCACAATTTTTTTACTTTTTAGATACATCTAAGTAAGGTGTATCTAAAAAAATAAAAAAAATGTTTAAAATTTAAAAAATATTCACTAAAAACAAAAAAATACAAAAATTAAAAAAGTCAATTTTCAAAAAATTTAATCCAAAAAATTCAAACCAAACATAGTGAATAATAATACACTCAGAAATTTTATCCAGTAATATTAATATGTGATTTATGTGCATTTTCATATATGAATTTTACAATACATTCATTCAATTTTCACTGCACACTATAATTCTAGGCAATAATCTGTTCTCATATTATAGATTCCCATAGTTACTGTTTGAGAAATTACAAAGCACAAAAATACTTGTGATTATAAGTTAATTTTACAATTTTAGGAATTATGGTATTAATAAAAATCAGAGATAATATGATATATTATGACTAATGTTTTATAAGTAATAGGATTATTATTATTATTTCATGATAGTCAAAGTGATGAGAGTTAAAACATGAAAAATGAGAAATAAATAAGTTAAAATTGATGTTAAGTGAGATAATTTAGTTTTGTTTAGTCTTATTATATTAATAAAATAAAATTATATATATTAGATACCTATAAACATATTCAATAAATATAATTGGATTGGGCTGAGATAGAATGGAGGAAAATTCATCTCCATCCCACTTCATTATGGGGAGTGGGAGAAAACCGTCCGAAATGAGGCAAAATGGAGTGGGAAAAAATTGCCATAAAATAATGTGATTTTAGTTTGGAAAACATTTTTTACCTTTCAAAAGTGAAAAATATTTTTATGCCTATATAAACTTGTTTTCTATTAATCATGGAAAATGTTTACCGTTGACTTTCATTTTCAATCGTACCAAATATCAGAAAATATTTCTGCCTAAACAAATAAACAAATAGAGCGTTAAGTTATCCAAAAGACCACTGAAAGTTTACCTCGTTGTGTTAATTTCAAGGTTTCCAAATTAATTAAGTTGCCACCAAGCTAGACTGACGCCTAGTTGTAAAATAAATTAATAATAACAACAAAAGTCTATTATGTTTATTAAAAAAAAAAAAATGAGACTTACGGTGCAAAATGAAAAACTACATGGATGAAAAGTTTAGTGGAATATTATACTTATAAAACATTCTCATTTAAAAAATAAAAAATAAATAAAGAAGATTAGACAGCATGATTATAGGGTTGATTTTCCACGCTTCATGAAAGATGTGCTTGCCAAGGAAAAGGATCTACCCTAAAAATTGTTCACTTATCTGTAAAATATAGTATTAGATTAAATTAAATGAATTATTTATAAGAAACAAATCCATGAATTCAAGCAAGGTTTAAAGTATCCCAATGGTCCACACCAATAAAATAACAAGAAGGGTCCTTATTGGAAATGCATGAGGCCTCAAAGGTAATTTTATTAGCTACTCTTGTAGTATTACATGTGACAATATTTATTGATATATTAAATTATTTATGTACCAAAAATTTTTATTAGTGAAATATGGAGATTTACCTTAATTTAGTAGTGTCACATAAGTAATGCCATAATACTTTAGGCATATTTAATAATTTTTTAGGCTTCAAAACCTCTGAATTTTATGTTTTCCATTATCAATGCGCTAAATTGCAAAATTTGATAATAATTTTAAAATGTAAAAAAAATTGTGACACAATCAAACAATAGAAAATAAAACGGTTCTTTTATTTGCATAAAAATTAATTACAGAATTAAATACTTCCTTTTTACATGGGTATAAGGTTTACAAAAAAATAAATGTTCTTTATGTGAAAAATTGTGTTCAATTCTAGAATCAATTTTGTAATCTTAGATATTTTTTAAAATAAAATAAAAATAATAGGATAAAAATTTTAGAGATGAAGAGAAAAAAAATTTCCGATGCCAATAAAGGGTCACAGTTCCCATTAATATTCATTAAATACTAGTATTTGATATTGAGCAATATGAAAGGACGACTCCTCATCATGGAGCATGTTTGCCTCTCATGGAAACTGTTGCATTTAATACATATAAATGTACCATCAGTTACATACTAGTGATAATATATTGGAATGATGTTTGGTAGCGGGAGACTTCTCCTGCATTCCCCTAATGTCCAAAACGACGTCGTTTTGGGCATTAGGTTTTTTTTTTCTTCTTTTTTTCCTTCCATTTTCAGTCTGAAACTGAAACGCAGGGGGAAGAGGGAGAGGGAGAGAAAGAGAGAATAAGAAGGAAGAAGAGGGCTGCGAGTCTCGCCGCCCGCCGTCGTCGCCTCACCGCCAGCTCGTTGCAGCAGCAGCAGCAGCTCCAGCTCCGACCGCCGTCTCCGCCTCCGCCTCCTCCTCCCCCGAATATTATGCCCCCTCCAGTCCCTCCTCCTCCTCCCTCTTCCTCCTTATGGTATTAATAAAAATCAGAGATAATATGATATATTATGACTAATGTTTTATAAGTAATAGGATTATTATTATTATTTCATGATAGTAAAAAAAAAAAAAAAAAAACGAAAGTACAAGATTTAATTGGATAATATAATGCATAATTTAATTGTACTTTTATGACATTGTAATTATTTTGTATTGATACTATTTTTTTTGTAATTATCCCAAGAATTTATACAAAATGATAGCATAGATGTGTATCCATTCACTTATTAAATCAAAAAATCAATCAAAGTGATTTATAATTTTTAAAATATCACTGTATAAAATTTTTGCTTACAAATCACTCTCTCATTACATATACACTGGTTGACAGAAAATTAACTAGATGAGATAGTTATCGATATGGTTGACAGAAAATTGACTAGATGAGATAGCTATCGATATTCGATCAACGTGATTTTTTACAGGCATATAGTACTTGAAGAATTTTAATCATTCAGATTATTGAAACGGGACGCGTAATAGACCTCCACGGACCTAACAGCACCCCCAATCCCAAATCTGGAGGGAAGACAGGCCCTTTACAAAATTATAAGAATAATAGTAGGTATTTTGGTTTTGTCCTTTTAATCAATAATGTAATACCCAATTGGTTGGATCCCATTCCATACATGGCAATGCAAAACCATCTTCATCGTTCTCTAACATGACTCCTAGTACAATTCCATCTCTTAATTTGGTGTATGCACGCATAAATTTAAAATATCATATTTAGTGCATTATTTTAGTATAAGGACTTGTTTGGTGCCACTTTCACTAGTTTTTAGATAGTAATTTTTTTATATACTTATAAATTACAAGAAGAATTTATACCAAAAACTAACATAAATTTAAAAAAACAAAATGAAACAAAACTAAAAACTAAGAAGTTGCACCCAATAATCCCTACGAGCTAAATTTTCAACATTTGGCCAAGGATCCTCTAGTTTCAAATTTTCTATCACTATTCTGATACATCTTTAACCTTACAATGAAATAGGAATCTCAATATCTAAATGCGCGATTTGAATTGCATTGACATAGAACAATTCATAACATAGAATTATGAACTACAATTATCATACATGACCCTCTGGCAAGAACAAACCGAAAAGAAAAAAAAAAAAAAAAAAAAAAGAAAAGAAAAAAGGAAAAGAAAAGAAAGAAGAAAATTCCCATTTTCATTGAACATTTTGAGAATATATTCTATCTTCTTTAGAACTGAATAACACCTTGATCACAAAAGAAGCAGGGTTGCAATAAAGTTGGTAGTTTATTATGCCCTACCTCTTTTTCATGGTCTGTATTTCCTCACCTCTAATCTTAATTTCCCAACTTTAACTTTTACAAAAATCAGATCAGATTCTTAGACCAATCCCACCAAATCAAGATCTCACCCTTAAAAATAAAAATAAAAAAAATAAAAAAATGATAGAATAGAACATAATTGTGAGATGTATGATTTTCATAAAAATGTTATATATCCAGAAAAAAAGAAAGAATATTTAGAATTTTGAATTGATAACATCCAAAATAGATTTAATTGGTATAATTCAAATTCTAGACATTTATTTATTTGTTTTTCTGGGTTGGTAACATTTTGATGAGTGACAGACTCTAAAATCTTGATAAAATTTTCCTACCGAATGATGAATAATATAATCTTATTCTGAATTATAATCCCTCGTCATCCTCCTCCACGATCTCTTGATCTTGCGTTCAAAATCTTCTCCAAGTAGCTTTGAAGGAAACATCAATTCATCATCTCTGAATAATGCTTTTCTCTTCTTCGTCGATGGTCTTTGCCGGAGTTTCTTGGGAGCTGGTGGGCATTGTGTGATCACTGGAATTTTGTGATCCAAAGATGTTGGAGTTCTGAACCCATCATCATCGTCGTCGTTGTCAGATTGTCCTAAACATGGTGGCTTGAGAGTCTCAGAAGAAGCTGTTGACTCGCATTTCTCTTCTTGTTCTTCTTCTTGATGGTGATGAAGATGATCGAGGTTGGAGGTTGTAATTTGAGACCCATCTGGGAATTTTAAAGTGGGTATTGAGGAATCTGGGAATTCGATCTGTTTTTTATCTTCTGTGAGGATCAACAGCTCTGGATTCGACATAGCAAGGAAGGGAATAATGTGCTGGAATTCCGTGAACATCAACCTAAAATTGAGAGAGAGAGAGAGAGAGAGAGAGAGAGAGAAGGGTCTTGTTGGAATATAATGATCTTTTTTCCGTTACTTTGAGTGATTTCTCTGAGCTTCTTCTTTGGATTTCTGGCCTCTTTATAGACTTTAGATGTGAGAAAGAGAAAGAGAGAAGGAAACGGTTTTATTATAACTGAGAGAGAGAGAGAGAGAGAGAGAGAGAGAGGGTATATCGCATTGCATCGGATCCTTCGCCAGGAGTATTTGAAAGCCTCTCGACCTTTAGTAACTGATTTCTCATACATACGCCTATTTTGGAAACATGATTTAAGAGTTATTTTTTAATTTTTAATTTATTTTGAGTTATATTATTTTTCATATTTTATATATATATATTTTTAAAAAGTTAAAAAAATTAATTTTTAATCATTTTTTTTCAAAATAACCCACATGCATCTCAAAGCCAAGATTTGGTAAATTTTAGGATAAATTACACTTACTTTTCATGAGCTTTCTCCTTACCTTTTCTTGTGATTTTAATAATTATATTAATCTGTCATAATAATTATTAAAATCATTAAAAAAAAATTTATGTAATTTACCTCTCTTAAGGTTAGTGTAATTTATCTTAAATTTCATGTAATATTAAATAAAATCTTTAAATTATTAAGACATTATTAGATCATTTAATGTAAATATATATATATATATATTAATAAAATAATTAAAAATAAATAATCTCTCTAAAATTAATATTAGATAACATCTTAATAATTTAATATAAGACTTCTTTCACACAATATAAATAACTTAAAATTTATTACTTTAAGTAATACATTTATTATTTGAATTTTTTTAAAGTTAAAATAAATAGATTTATTTTCTTTTCCCAGCTATTTGCATTATTTATTTATTCATATGTAAAAAAATTATTATTTTATATTTTCTCAGTTATATATTATTCTTAAATTTTAGTTTTTATCTTTGAGTTATTAAATTTCTAATCGATGCATATTTAAAAAAACACAGATTAATATTTCTTACATGATTAAAAAAATAAAAAAATACAAATAGAAGTAAAAAAAAATTAATCGCCTCACAATAAATTAAAATTAGTTAACAGGGAATGAAAGATTAAGAAATTATTTAAGAATTATAAACAATTCAAACAATTTGTCATTTTTTACACCTAAAATTAAAATTAATCTTTACTTGAATGGAGCAATTATTTGAGAATAACAAAATATTCAATTAATTGTTATGTATAATACTTAAAATCTATTTTTTCATCTTTATTTATATCATTTAAACTATTTTTATTAAATTAAATCTTAAAATTTATTTCTCACCTTCAATAATGGTTGAATTTTTATTTTATTTTTGTTTATAATAGTGAGAAATTACAAAATAAAGTAAAAAATTAACCATTAATGAAGGTGAGAAATTAATTTGAAGATTTAATTTAATAAAAATAGTTTAATTGAGAAAAATAAAGATGGAAAAATATATTTTAATTATCATACAACAAATTAATTGAGTATTTTAGTATTCTAAAATAATTTCTCCATTCAAATAAAGATTAATTTTATTTTAATCATGTAAGAATAACCTGCATTTTTTTTAAAAAAAATATGCATCGATTAGAAATTTAATGACTCGAAGATAAAAATAAAAATTTGTTAATAATGTCTTAACAATTTAGGAATAAATAATTTTCGTACATATGAATAAATAAGTATGACAAATTGCTGGGAAAAAAAAAATCCATTTGTTTCAACTTAAAAAAAAGAAAAGAAAAAAATAAATTTAAATAATAAATCCATTAATTAAAATTGAAAAATATTTTGTTGTTTATATAGTGTGAAATAAGTTTTATAAGTATTATATTAATTTTTAATTTGTTATATTAAACTATTGGGTGTTAAGTTTAAAATACGTATGGATCTTTAATAATATATATGTAAAATCTCAAGGGAGGTGGGTGAAAATTTTCATTTAAATAGCTTAATAATTCAAAGGGGCAATATGCTCATTTTGGATAGAAAAGTAATGGTATTTATGCTAAATTAACAGATTGGGAGAATCTTGATATTGTCAAAAAAAGTAGAGGAGATTTTTGTAATTATTAAAATCATAGAAAAGTTTCTGTATTTATCAAAAATCTCAGGAAAGGTAAGTTTAATTTACCCCATATTCTACTCTGAAAGTGATTCATTAAAAATAAATTTTTTAAAAAAATTAGACAAGATGAATGCAGAAATGTTGTGTCGACGAAATAAAAATAAAATTAAAAAAAAAAGGAGAAGAAGTTATAAGTCTAGATGATTTGTTTTAACCTTAATTTTTGGTTTACTTATTTCTAAGCAATAAACTAATTTTAGGGCAAACTACCCGTAAGTCCTCATATAATCCTACTACTTTTTGTGTAAACCCAAAAGACCTAACGTTTCTTCTTCTTTTTTTTTTTTTTGTTTCACTCTCTCTTTGACAGGCCCAGCCCTAGCCATAGGCGCACCAAGCCATGGCCTAAGGTCCCTCAAAATAGACTCAAAAAAGGGACCTCCTCCTATTATAGTTTAGTGTGATATATTTTAGATCCAAAAAAATTAAAGAAAACCCAAATTAACTTAAAATAATTGACCCATTAAAAAATTAAAAGGCCCATTCAAAATTAAAAATGTTTACTCTCTCTCCCTATGTAATTCCTAACCCTAACTACTCTTAATCCAATTTTTCCAACAACTTGACAGCAGCAGCCCAACAAAGAGCAAACCTAGCAGTAGCACACAAAACAAAATAGAGCACAAGGTCCATGGATCAGCAGCAGCACGGCAAGCACCTGTAAAAAAATTTCTATTCAATTAATCAAATATTTGTCTTATCTTTTGCTCAATTGCTATTATAATATTGGTATTTACATCATCAAGAAGAATTTGTTTAAGTTTAATAGTTTGTCTGATATGGTTTAATAATTTGTTTAAGAATTTGTCTTGTCTTTTTTTAAGAATTTGTTTAAGTTTAATAATTTGTTTAAGAATTTGTTTAAGTTTAATAGTTTGTCTGATATACTTACAATGGCTACTGCCTCCTTTGTTTCACGCACTCCGTTTTTTTTCAGTTCTATCTCTAAAAACCTACTGTTTCTGTTCCTCTCTCAAGTTCTATTTTTTTTTTTCAACCAAAAATTTAAAACAGCTATAGCAGATTATTTAGTTGCCTTGTAGACAATTATTCCATGTCACTCATAAGGCCTTTTCTGTAACATCACATAATTTAAAAGTTTTTTTTTTGTCAAGTAGTGGTGGTGCTCTTGTTTTGAATTTTGATCTAAAAAAGTATTTTGATTTCAGTTCATCATGACACTTAAAAGAAATTATTTATCTAGATTCGCAAAAAGGAAAAAGAAGCAAAGAGTCGAAAAATTAGTCATGTATCAGAGATGAGCTATTGACAAGTTCTTTACAAGTGACAAACAAGCAGAACAATCAATTGAAGAATTGAATAATGAAGAATTTGAAAATTTGGTGAATAATGAGAATGAAAATTTAGTGAATAATGAGAATGAAAATTTGGTGGATGAAGAAGGAATGAGGAATTTGGGAGTGCAGAAGCCAATCAAGATGATGAGATGAATGTGGAATGTGAGCATTCAAATATAGATGAATGTGGAATGTGAGCATTCAAATATAGCCAATCAAGAGGTCTTGTGAGAAGAAATTGTGAGTTTAACTTCCCTAAGGATGATTCTTCGAGGCATAGGCATTCTCACATGTTCATTACAATCGACATTTATCAAATAGAGAAAAATTTGATAGGAAATGGTTGTTATACTCAGAGCTTTTCAATAGAATATTTTGGCTTTGTTGTAAGTTGTTTAAGCAAGAGGGAAATAAGACTCAATTGGCTATCGAAGGATTTAAAGACTGGAGAAATATTGGTGAGAGACTTAAAGGCCATGAAAGTGGTAATGAGCACATTACTTGCATGAGCAAATAGAATGAGTTGGAGGAAAGATTGGAAAAGCATCAAACAATAGATAAAAGTATATAAGAGCAAGCTAACAAAGAAAGAGAGCACTTGAAACGAGTTTTATTGATGATAATTGCAGTTATGGAAACACTTGCTGAGAATAATTTACCTTTTCGTGGAAGCCATGAGAAGATTTATGAAGAGAGCAGTGGACTTTTTTTAAGCATAATTGAAATGATTGGCAAGTTTGATCCAACGATGGAACAGCACTTGCGGCGGATAGAAAAGGGTGAGATTCATTACCATTATTTGTGTCACAAAATTCAAAATGAGGTGACACAAATGTTGGCAGGGAAAGTCAAAAGTGAAATTTTGTCGATAATCAAACTAGCAAAATACTTTTTGGTCATATTTAATTGTACACTGGATATAAACCATCAATAACAAATGTCTCTTGTTGTACGATGCGTGGATGTTTCAACAAGTCCATTTACAGTGAAAGAGTTTTTTTTTGGAATTCTTGAATGTGGATGATACATCTGGGATGGGGCTTTTTGATAAACTTCAAGAAGCATTAGTTAACCTTTAACTTGATATTGATGACTTAAGAGGGTAAGGATATGACAATGGCTCCAACATGAAAGGCAAAAACAAAGGTGTTCAAACAAGAATACTTCAAGTAAATCCTAGAGCATTTCATACGCCGTGTGGTTGTTACAGTCTTAACCTTGTGCTTTGTGATATGGCCAACTCTTGCTCTAAAACAAAAACTTTTTTTGGTGTGGTACAACATCTTCCGTTCAACGTTGGGCAATTTTAAAAGATAATCTAAAGGAAGGCCTCACGGTTAAGTCGTTGTCTCAAACGCGTTGGAAAAGTCGTATTGAAAGTGTTAAACCACTAAGATACCATGCTTTAAAAATAAGAGATGCTTTAGTTGACGTGTACAACAATCCTACCACGGATTCAATTGCAAAAAGTGAAGTTAAATCCTTGGTAACACATGAACTTGAGACTTTTGAGTTCCTATTTAGTATTATAATTTGATACAATTTGTTGTTTCATGTGAACTCTGTTAGCAAGCTTCTTCAAAGTAAAGATATGGATATAGCAGTTGCTGTAAAGCAGCTAGATAGGCTTGTTAAGTATGTTGCAATGTATAAAGAAGTTGGTTTCATAGAGGCTATGGTTGAAGCTAAAGAAATGGCAAGTGAATTGGGAATTGAACCTACATTTGTTGAAAAGCGCATCATTTCTAGAAAGAAACAATTTGATGAGAATGTTAGCGAAGAGGTGACCCGGTTGGCTGAAAAATCATTTAGAGTTGGTTACTTCTTGTATTTTGTT